TCAACCCCCCCCATTGCGGTACTACATAGAGGGAGAATAACAAAAATAGAGGAGGAGATGTGGAGGTGGAGGCATGCCGGAAGAGTTGTTGCTGGGACGGCGCAGTGACTGCTGCTTATATAGGCTCATTGACAGGATTGACAGGACTGGATGATTAGCCTCCTCCTGAACCTACGTTTGGACCTTCGTCAATATTTTCCCTTTCCTCCCTTTCCTGCACTGCATAATAATGTGTTCAGCTGTTTCCATCACTCCACACTAACAGCATTGAGCTTATGATGAGTTGTGTTTACCCATCAGAAACAATAATGCATCTTTAAGAGCTGAATGTCTCAATCTGGATATTAACACCTCTTTCCTAAATCTCCATATATTATCCAGCACGTCATTCACAGATGGTTGAATAAAATGCACACTGATGCACTAAAAACACTCTTATGACTGAAATATTGATTGCTGGTTCGTTAAAGGCTGGTCTTTGTGGTAATACAGTACATCGGGCGGGACATCCAAACGCTCGCCTATCATTCATCGACCTCAAACATGGCTTATCATCTGAAATATGTAAGTATTAGCAACTTTACATGGCTGCTCAATCTTATGTTAAAATGTTAATGCAGTCTCCTTACTGTTTTTCCCAACACATTCATAATCATTACTTCTGCTGTGGTGTGCTGTGGCAAGATTTATGTGTGCGCTTATTAGGCTATGTAGGCAATTAAAGACTCATTATAAAGATTTAAATGGTTTATTAATAAATGTGCAATTAGTCGACTAATGCTTAAAATGAACAACTACTAGTCGACCATAAAAATCTTTAGTCGAGGGCAGCCCTTCTAGAATGTCATTTACTCTTGTTTTTGAATTTGTGAAGTTGTTGTCAAGGCTGATCTTTTCTTGTTTTCTTTGTGAATATTGTATATAGTATAACTGGGAGTTTTAGGGAGTGTGTGTGTGTGTGTGTCTACTTAACCATATTTTGAGAGATGTTTTCAGCCTAGAAGATAAACCTGACAAAACCTGATATCAAAATAAGGAAATTTAAGCTTTTTTAGTAAAAAAATAAATAAAAAGAACATTAAAAATGCAATAAGTTTTCTTTGGGAGTTTAGGTTTGGTTATAGTATTTATAACTCGCTGTATATAAGAATAGACATCTATAGAATGTCCCAATTTAAATAGAGAAGCCACTACAGAAAAAATTAATGTTATGAACTATAAGAATGAATCCAGCATCTTCATTTCTCAGTTCTGATTGTGTTGAGCTTGAGTCTGTTTAAAGTCAAGACATTGAAGTGCTGATGGTGTGTGAAAGTGTGTATTTCAGTGTGACTCTCAGTCCTGCAGTATCATGTAGAGCAGATCATGTGTTCAATCATTTACAGCTCAATCAACTGAACTCACAGCAGCAGAAAGAGACTCAGCACTTCAAACATACTGTACTTTACCTTGAGTTTCATGTGTGAGAGTCAAATATGATCTTACCTCAGTATCTCCAGTTTACAGTGAGGATCCTCCAGTACAGCAGACAGCAGTGTGACTCCAGAATCTCCTAGTTTATTCAGAGTCAGACTCAGTTCTCTCAGGTGTGAGGGGTTTGATCTCAGAGCTGAAGCCAGAGCAGCACAACCTTCATCTGCGACTCCACAATCCCACAACCTACAGAGAACAATGACACACTCTTCACTCTCTCAGATCAGATCAGATCAGATCAGTTTAACAGATTAAAAAAAAGACTAACTTTGATTCAGAAGTCACAATTCTATACAGACTATTAAATATTTCTCACAGGACATAAAAATAATAATCGGAAATTCAAAGAGCTTTCAACACATGTGCTTCAAAAATCCCAATTTACATCAGATCTTTAATAATAAGAGAAAAGATGATCTTCATTTATGCAGTTATTTAACCCTTTCACTGGTGAGTTTAAAATATTCTAGCTGACCCCCCAGAGTGAGGGTTTTTGGCGACTGTTATTTAGAACGTTTCTCCTCATTGTTTCCATGGTGATGCATCATGCTTGTCACGTGACACACCACAGCCACGGAAACACCGCATGACAGATGTATCGCTTTTATTTAATTATTATTTTTTTTATTCAAAATATTCACACACTTGCTTACCATGTCATCAATTATCTGATATTCTGATTCACAAATACATGTAAGTGAGTGCATTTTGTCATTTAAAAACCTTTATAAATTATCTTGATCATGATCTATAACGTGAGACGGACGCCGCCATGTTTGTTCACGCCGCAGTTCAGAGAGTCCTGTCAGTCGGATTTACAGCACTTCAATTCATCATTTTCTCTTGAAATACATGTAAGTAAGTGGCTGGTGAACCGGGAGAAGAATAGAGTGAACTTTATAGTTACTTTTACACTATGTGTATCTGATATGAATAAAACATGTCAGCAAATTATATTTGAATGGAATATTATTGCTGCTTCCATAGACATCCGTTTGTATTTTACAAACTGTAAATGCATTGTTTTACTAGTACATATGTGTATTTAAATGTCTGAAACCCAAAAGAAGCATTATGTGGTTAGAAACACTGCAGAGATGTGATTCTATGACAAGTGCAGCTATAGCATGAAGCACAGTTTGAATTTGGCGGTTATGTGACGTCACTGAACATTGTAAATCCCATATGTGGGACTGTAGCGCTCAAAAGGTTACGCATGGTGGAGGTTATTAAAAACATGAGAACAAGGTTTTTTTTAATCTCATCATCAACAATTTTTCTTGTCTATGATGGCGCCGCAGATGGCAGCCATGGTTTGTCGTCCTTGGTACTTGTACTCTTTTTGTTTGTTTGTCCTGTCTTAAGCAATTTTTTCCCAATCAGCTTTACTAGGAACGAACTCCTTGACATCAGAAATAGCACACCAAATAACTTTCTGCCGACATTTGAGCATTCAGATGTTTTACTGGACATTTTAGTCGGAGGAGCTGCGTTCCTATACAAGCGCTCCAGGCGACGCAAGCGAGGGAAGCGCGCCGGCGCGCTCGTGAAATTCCGACAGCGCGGTTTTAGGACTCCGCTGCCGAGCATTCATCTGGCGAATCTCCGCTCCCTAGCAAATAAATCAGACGAACTACGACTCCTCACCCGCACAAACAAGGACTTTTTAAACTCCGCTGCGCTCTGCTTCACGGAAACCTGGCTGAACGGAGCCATCCCAGACAACGCGTAACTACGACTCCTCACCTGCACAAACAAGGACTTTTTAAACTCTGGCTGAACGGAGCCATCCCGGACAGCGCGTTACATCTAACGGGCTTTCAGCTGTTCAGAGCAGACCGCGTCACCGAGTCATCAGGGAAAACGAGAGGCGGTGGATTATGTTTTGTCCTGACGCATGTGTGAGCGCCGCGCTAGAACTGTTGGCTGATCAGATCACACACACAGAACAACATTATCCGGACTCTTTTATTACTGTTCTCGGTGATTTTAATAAAGCTAATCTCACCCGTGAACTGCCTAAATATAGACAGCACATCACATGCCCCACCAGAGACAGCAATATACTGGACCACTGCTACACTGTTTTAAAGGATGCATACCACTTTGTCCCCCGAGCAGCGCTGGGACTCTCTGATCACTGTTTAGTTCATCTTCTACCAGCCTACAGGCAGAAACTCAAATCTGCTAAGCCTGTAGTAAAAACTGTAAACAGATGGACTGCTGAAGCAGAGCAGGATTTACAGGGCAGCTTTGAACTTACTGATTGGAGTGTTTTTGAGGCTGCAGCTACTGATCTGGATGAGCTCACTGACACCGTGACATCCTACATCAGTTTCTGTGAGGACATGTGTGCTCCCACCAGAACTTATTTAACATTTAACAACGACAAACCTCGTCTAACAACTTGGGACATTCACATTGACTCCATTGTGAAAAAGGCCCAGCAGAGGTTGTACTTCCTTCGTCAGCTGAAAAAGTTCAACCTGCCACAGGCACAGATGACACAGTTTTACTCAGCTATTATTGAGTCGGTTCTGTGAAACTGTCTGGTTTGGGTCAGCCTGCAAATCAAATTTAAGAAGACTGCAACGGACTGTTAGGACAGCAGAACGGATCATTGGTGTGCATCTGCCCAGTCTTCAGGACTTGTACAACTCCAGAGTGAAGAAACGGGCAGGTAACATCATCAAAGACCCCTCTCACCCCGGACACAACCTGTTTGCACTTCTCCCTTCAGGCAGACGCTACAGATCTCTGCGCACTTGAACATCTAGGCATAAAAACATTTTTTTTCCCAATGCCATCTACAGCTTAAACAGCTAACACATGAATCATTACCTGTCTTCTGTAATTAATTTCCATAATTCATTCTACATCTTTAATTATTGCCTTTTTCTCAAGTATTATGTAAATACATATGGATATCTCTTATTTATACAGTTCTATATAGAGTACAAATGCACAAATCTGTACATAAATCTACTGTTCCAGATTCATACTCATTATTTTTTGTATACACATTATTTTTTGTTAAGTATTACTATTTAAATGTTTTTTTCTGTTCTCATGTCAGATGTGTATGTATGTATGTATGTATGCATGTGTGTATGTACCAGGAGCACCTGATAAAAAAATTAAAAAAAACAAATTCATAGTGTGTTTGCGCACACCTGGCGAATAAAGCTAATTCTGATTCTGATTCTGATTCTGAACAATAACAAAGGCAAAAGTGAGTATAGTAATAAACATATAGTTGTACACTATACTGTATATATGCAGAGCTGGGTAGTAACTGATTACATGTAATCTGGATTGCGTAATTAAATTCCAAAAATTTTAATTAGATTATATTACAATTTAAAATACTCAGAATCAGACTACAGTTACTTTTTCATGGATTACATGGTTACATATTATTCACACAATAGCAATAAATTGTTCATAATTTATTGATTCTGCCTAATTCCTCTTTTCATCTTTTAAATGTTCCTTTGTAAAATAGCCAACCGCTTATATACATTCAGAAAGTCTGTCAGTTTTGTAGACATTCACAAAAAGACCAGCCACTATCAGCTGGCTGTAATTACACAGAAAACTGAGAGGCCATAAAGCACTTGACCACTGGATTTACACAAATCTTTTTTAGTTTTCAGAAGTGTTTTCTCAACAATTCAACATTGCATCAACTACTGATGAACACAATATTTATTATTTGAATTTTTATTTATTATTTGAATTATCGCTCAGTGGGTTATTTATGTCTTTGGAACGCTTTTGTATTTCAAACACATTAAAATGCACAAATTCACATTATTTCTTATATACATGTAATGCAGGCATTTCCAAACTTTTTTGTCATCTAAATCTCTTTCACCTAATATATTGCTTGAAGTACCCCTGAAATTTTACAATATTTTTTTTGAACAAATAAGTATCACATTTGCATGTTCATGATTCTCTGATGTTGGTTAATGGTCACATGACATACATGTAAACAAATTAAATATTTATTTATTTTTAGTAAGTGTTTGGTTTTGATTGATGCTATTTTAAAATGATTTGTTTTATTTTTTTTATTTAATTAATTTTTTTGCTTTTTATTAGACTCACAAACCCCCAGCAGTTCCTTTACAAACAGTTTGGGAAACCTTGACGTAATGTAATGTTTATTGTAAATCATGTTGACAATAACAGTGAATGGGATATATTTTCTTACTCTTTGTATTTTTATATCAATATGGTACAAGATTATTCTATTTAAATCAATGTGATAAATGAGTTAGGTGAAGAGTAATCTAAAAGTAATCAAAACGCATGTAAACAAATTAAATATTTATTTATTTTTAGTAAGTGTTTGGTTTTGATTGATGCTATTTTAAAATGATTTGTTTTATTTTTTTTATTTAATTAATTTTTTTGCTTTTTATTAGACTCACAAACCCCCAGCAGTTCCTTTACAAACAGTTTGGGAAACCTTGACGTAATGTAATGTTTATTGTAAATCATGTTGACAATAACAGTGAATGGGATATATTTTCTTACTCTTTGTATTTTTATATCAATATGGTACAAGATTATCCTATTTAAATCAATGTGATAAATGAGTTAGGTGAAGAGTAATCTAAAAGTAATCCAAACGTGGTCTGAACAGTGAATGAACACTGATAAACTAATAGTGACTCTACTAATAGTGAAGCAGTGTGTTTTAGTTACTTCAAAAACAGAAAGAAATATATGCTCGAACTTTTCAGTATTTAAGCTGTTTTATAGATAAATCACAGGACAGTGTTAACAGTGAATGTTTCTGTGTGCATGTGATCTGCACGTGAAGTGTGAGCTACTGTGTGTGTGTGTGTGTGTACCTCAGTGTTACAATGTAGCAGAACATTAGCTCAGAACAGCAATTAACTGACCTAGACAACAAACTGCTTACCAGATCGATATTAAATATTCAGATTATATAAACAAACATAACTTGACTCAGGGCTCTCAAGTCTCATGCATTTCAACCAGTTCACTCGCCACACCTTGTATTTCTCATGCTGAGAAGTAAGGGGTAACTTGTCCCGCTTTTTACAATTAATAGATGAGGCGCAGACATTCGGAGGGAAGTTCTGTGCTGAGTTCATAGCTGTCTCGAGTAGTGATGTTTGATTCTCGAGCGAATCGTTCTCAGCAGTGTT